ATTGGGGTGTTGTAATGCACAGGTCTCCCAAGTCCATATTTTTTGCATAACTGTAGTGAAGGCAGCCTCACAGTGTGACCTAGGCCCTGTGGTTTCCTTTCAGCAGGGGGCTTAGCTAATGGGGTTACACTTAAGACAAATAGTGCTCGCAGCAAAGTTGATTCTATGGGGTCATCTGTGGGGTACTGAGCAAAGCCCGAACTGAGGGAAACAGCATCACAAGTGTCACGGGTACTGGCCCTGAGCAGGTACTGTGCCCTGGGGGTACTGAGGTCTGTATCCTCTGGAGCAGTAAGGAGAGGCTGGTTCGGTGGTGATCCCATGGTCCAAGTGAGATGCTTGGGGTTCTTTCTTTTGATGATCTCTCGGGCTGGGGTGCTATTGTCTGGGGCCACAGCTATCCAGGTGGGGGGTGGCCTTCCCAGGTGGCCACTCGAGAAGAGAAGTGGGGGGTGTGGGCATTCTGATGACTAGTGTAGAGCTTCCCTACAAAGGCTTTCTGCACCACCAGTGCTGCACAGCCTTTTAGCCCCCGTGGGTCTTCAGGGGAGCCTTTAGCGAAAGCTTGAGCAGCACCTTTCTGGGTGATGTAGGATGTTTCTCTGCACAAATAGAGTAAATCGAAGGCACATGCATATCCCTGAGCCTATGATAATTTCTGAATGTTTTCTCTGCGTATTAGGCTCAGACCCTTCAGGGCCCAGTTTGGGTTTGTGCTCCAAGCATCATTAGCCATTTTAGGTTAAAGCCTGTGCATGCAGAGCACTATCTGCTTGTCCTTAAAATTTGATCTGTGGTTGTGGTTGGGCTGGGGGTGTTTAAGCGTTGGTGCCATTGGACTCACTTAATATGTAAGGATTGAATTGCCAACACTGGACCCACATCTGGTGGCATTTGGGATGCAGCCCTTCTAATATGGCTTTTCTAGCATACCCCAGTTTTCTAGCCTGGGGTACAATTTCTTACCAGGGCAGGCCTGTTCCATGTGTATGCTGCCAGGTCTGGGGTCCAATAGCAGCCCTGATAACCTGCACTGCAAATAAGATGCCGAGAAGATCAGCCCTAAAGAAAACCAACATCTTATACTGGGGCTTTCTTACTGGTGCTCACATATTGATATTGATTTTGGGGCTGGTATATGCCAACATTTCACTGGGGGCTTTCTCCACCACTGGCATAGACCAGGGTTGGTAATGATACTTGCATGTGGTCATTGCCTGATGTTGTCCTGAGGACTTGATGAAGTCCTCCAGTTTGAGGGCTTCTTCTCGTTTAGTGACCCAGACTGTGCCCTCCATGAGCCTGGAGCTATGTCTCTACTTGTGGGTGAGCAAGAAATATTAGCTAACCTTTAAAAATGGCAAAAGCAGAGCTTTTGTCAGAAACTGCATGCCAAATGGACAGGTAAGGTCCAGCAACAGCATCATGGGCCTCTCAGTGCCAGCAGGCCTGGACTGTCTGTCACTAGCAGGCCATAGCTTATAGTCTGTCCCCAATAGGTCACCAGTAAATGTTTGATGATGAGATGATGAGTTGCCCTATAGGCAACTACTAAAGCTCATCATAGTGTGGCGTGAGTATGCTTTTTGTTGTACTCATTATATCTTTATTAAAGGCCCATTTCTAATAGTACGAGGAGATATCATTATTAGAGAAAATGTAAATGATGTTATCCCCAAGGGAAGAAGAATCCAGATCTCCCATGGTCACCAGGGTGGGCACCATGGTGGGTCTGGCCCAGTTGTGATGAGGGGATGGTGGCAAGAGGGTTGAGAGTTAAGAAGGGTTAAGGTTCCTGGAAGGAGCTTGGTCCACTTGGGGGTCCGCCACCCATTCTGCACCTGTAATAATGATGACTTTGGGAGGCCACCATGCTGCTCTATAGAGGCTGGCAGCTTTGGGGCAGTGGGCTAAATGAAAGTTCCACAATACCCCATGTTGTAATGCTCACTCCTGGGTCACCAGGCGTGAAGTGATCTGAATCAGTGATCTTGGGTGGCCCAGAAAGGGAAGCAAGCAATGGTCAAAGCCAGAGAGTACATGTCCTGTGAAGCTTTCCGGGCAGGGGAAGCCCATAGAAGTCTGCTGAGAGTGTATGTATGTTACTGCATAGCAGAAAGTGCCTGCCGTGGGTGGGAGATGCCCAATGAAGTCAAGTTGCCACCAGCTGAAATGGCGGTTGCCCCAGGGAACAAGGGAGTGCCAGGCTGTGCAGTGTTTAGTGATGGTGCAGCATTTATGACTGAGTAGCACTCCCCTGGCCAGGGCTAAAGTAAGAGGCACCCGTGGCGTGTGGCTTCTCCAACAAAGAGTAGAGCCCCTCTGGCCAGAGGCCGAGTGGCACCGTTCTGCCAGCACTCGAGCAATACGTGCCTGTGAGCCTGGAAGGCAGGAAGGAGGGGGACCTCACTGAGGCCCTAATAGGTGTGGGGCTGTGGCTGGGCAGGGGACCCCCGATCTACTGGAGGTGGAACATCAGGGGCATCAGCTGGGCTCAGTGTGGAGGCCAGAGCAGGAGTAACCTGGGCCTCAGCTGCCTCATCCACAGTGTGGCTGCAAACAGCCTCGGGCATGGTGGCCTGTGAATGTGCTGAGATAGGGTCATCTGTAGGGTGACTGGTGCCTTCACTACTTCATCCCAAACAGGTGTGCCCCAAGTGGTTGGTCCTGAATTTTAAGAGTTGTATAGCCATTGGCTCAATCACACTGCCTGCCTTTTGGCCACAGCCTTGGAATCTGTAAAAATGTGAACCTGAGTGCAATTATGAACCGCAGTGTCCTCCATAGCCTGCCAGACAGCTGTGGAAGGCAGCTGTGGCTCACCGTCA